CTAGTGAAAGCATCTACCAGTTACATGTTATATTTTGTTCCACCACTTTCGTCATTCGTGCAAAGTCAGTTATACTTCACAGAATAAGCGGTCAAAAGATTTCCTACGTGTAATCTTTTTCGTGGATACGACATCCTTCTACAGTGTTGAAACGTTGGCCCGCATATGCTTCTAATGTTAGACTAACAGGCTTCTTGGGTTTTCTTGCAGTGAATGCCGAAACGCCCCAGAAATACTGGCCAATTAGAAAATGCGTTCTCTATATACAGTAAAAAGGAAACTAGGAGGAAAAAATCTCAAGATTCAGAAGAAGAAGAAGAAGAAGAAGAAGAAGGGGATGCTATCGTTGGAACAAGAAGTTTATCGGCCTGAAGTTTCGGATTCTTACTCTAACCTATCATCTGCGACTGCCTCTGATGATGCTTCCTAGGGAAAATCCGAAACGTCGGGCTAATAAACTTCTTCCTCCATCGACCGCATCTTCTTCTTCTTCCGAACTGCTTCCCAGAGCCCTACTGTTCGCTTCAGTCAGCAAACCCCAAGATTGTTGTAGTGCTACTTGGAGAGCAGGCACACTTTCATCGTCATAGGATAGAGTGGCACAGCGTTCAATGGCATTTTTGCTGCCTTCGTGGACGTGCAGTCAGGTGGTGGACAAGCATAAAAAGTACGCAACAGCAGGGATGTGCACACCATCATATCAACCGTTTCTTTTCGCTCTGGCTTGCAGCGTTAACGTTGACCGGTGTCGTGTTCCGGATGGGCGGAAGCCCCTACTGATCTGTGGGGAGCTGATCGTCGCCTGAGTTTGAATTGGCGTTATGTGCCGCCACATTGCCCTATCCATCTGGACCTTTCTGGAATATATCTACCTATAGCATGTTTGTTTTTGAAACTGCGGAACGACCAGCCGTGAGATTACGTATTCTCTTACTGCACGCACCGCCGTACAAAAAGAGGTCGCGGGCTGTCTACTCAGAACCCATCAATTTCATTTGCTGATTTACTTGGTCCTGTGAGCACAACATGTAAGTCGGAGGACAGGACGTTGTTCCACAAGGATGTCTGAAATGTGAACAGAGTGGCTTGCCTAGAGTTGTCCCATCTAACATTTCGAGTCTACTAGGTAAGTAGACAATGTGGACAGCGGGGAGCGGTCTCCGCGCACCTGGCCATTCCTGTTCCCTGCTCAGGAAAAACATTCGAAAAATTATTAAAGGTAACCCGGGCGCTACCTCACCCATCGATCGGTAGAGTAATTAACGTACAAACAACGCGGCACGCTGGCCGACTAGTCAATTTATCCACCCTCACGACATGTGAAAACCGGCTCTTGCGTACTTCCTCCCCATTACCCCCCGGCTCTCCCACACCAGTTGGCTTTATTACTGCCCTCTCCCCCTCCTAGAACAACTCTAGTCCCCCGTCCTCCCCACTCTAATGCCAAAAGTGATCCTTTCATATGACTGACTCTTCTACCAAACCGGATATTTGTATCAGAGCAGGCCTGATGATCAAACGGTGAGGATGATCGTTCACCTACGCGTATGTTTTATTCAAACTCGCTTTTTCCCATTTGACTTATCTGACAGGGAGGTTAACACTTCCTTGGCAGATTGCCGCTACCGACAATGCTTGCCGTCTTCCTGCAACAATTGGTTGTACGAATATCTCCACAGATGTCAAAATTACAGCGATGCTCTACTTGGAGTTAACGGGCTACAATGTCTACGTACCAAGCTTGAAAGTCTCGGTGTTAAGGAACAGACGGCTAGGACAATGAGCTTACTTGCATTTGAAGAACATGTGATAGGCCTATTCCATGTGAGCTCAGACGCCTGCCACCGGCAGACCACACCGACATCGCGAAGGAGACACGGTCGCTGGAACAAAAGCTTTATTAGCCTGAAGTTTCGGATTCTCACTCGAATCCATCATCAGGGACTGAGTCATCAACATCCCCGCGCTTGAACGCAAACACCGCGTTTGCTGCGATCTTTTAGTTCAATCGTGCTAATTCATGAAATGTCAACCAAAATTTCGAAATGCGTTCTCGTTTCGAAAAGATAAATTAGGTAGTGTTGTAAAACTGATCATGGTGCAGCCTAAATCTATAATGATCCAGTTACCTCAGGGTGTCGGATTTTGAAAGAACTTATTTTTGGCTGCATGCAAGATCTATACTCTGCAAAAAATGACCACTTAAGTAGCATGCAATTTTCTCATTGATTTTCGATGCTCTTGAGAATTCAATTATATTTCATGGAAAACATGCATAGAAATATTCATTCTTTTACTTATTCGGTAGAAAATCACGTCTTCTTCCAAGTTCATACTCAAAAGAAGAGTAGAATTCGGTTTTAAAAAAGTTTTTAATTGTGAAATTTTTTAATACCGTTAAATGGCCGTTCATGAAACGTCCTGTATCTGCATTTACGAATGTGGTATGTAAAGTTAACAATAATGCATGCATTTCTCTACGGTTTTAAGAGGAGACCATATGAGGTTCATAAAATTAAAGCAGTGGATTTAAGCAATATTGTTAATTTTACAAGCCACATTCGTAAATGCAGATACATGACGTTTCATGAACGGCCATTTAACGGTATTAAAAAATTTCACAATTAAAAACTTTTTTAAAACCGAATTCTACTCTTTTTTTGAGTATGAACTTGGAAGAAGACGTGATTTTCTACCGAATAAGTAAAAGAATGAATATTTCTATGCATGTTTTCCATGAAATATAATTGAATTCTCAAGAGCATCGAAAATCAATGAGAAAATTGCATGCTACTTAAGTGGTCATTTTTTGCAGAGTATAGATCTTGCATGCAGACAAAAATAAGTTCTTTCAAAATCCGACACCCTGAGGTAACTGGATCATTATAAACTTATGCTGCATCATGATTAGTTTTACAATACTACTTAATTTACCTTTTCGAAACGGGAACGCATTTCGAAATTTTGGTTGACATTTCATGAATTAGCTCATCTACTGTACACTAACCTGTAACTTGCGGGCAGGTCCTAAAAGCAGTCTTACTCTCATTGGTAACGTAGGCACTACCTGTTTTCGCTCACCACTGCAGTTTGTGAATGCCAAATCATCAGTTTCTTCCGCCTCAACGATGATTCGCATACCTGCTAGTTAAGAACACGCCGCTGTCCTCGTGCACAATGAAGACACCATTTCGAACCTAAGAGCGGCATCCTTTTTGTAAATTTAAAACGTCAGCTTTCCTTATCTTTACATACCCTCTCGTTGACTGGCATTTTGAAAAAGTTGAGTCTGAATTAAGTAAAACAGGCTGCAAACTCCTAGACAATTGTGAGAACATATCCGTGTAATCAGAAGCTAACACTAGTAGACCAGGATGTTTTGGCTAAATCGTTGGTTACAGTCGTTCTGGAATGTGATAATTCCTGAAAGCTGCAGACGCGGACCATTCTTTGCATGTCATCTGTTCATTTTCTTGCGTTAGGACACCCAGGAGAAGTCGCGTCCGGTCCAGAGAATTTCGGAGTGATACTGGCTGCTTT